CGTGTAAATTTAATAACGTCCCAGGTATTCATAGCAGTGTATATTAAATAATGTTCCGGGTATCTCATACGAGCTATATCATAGTCACTAGAGACTTTACTAAGTGGCCTGTACAACACCGACTAAAGTTTATATAGTAAGCGCATTTCTATTGCATTCAGGGCCCGTGTAAATTTAAATAACGTTCCCAGGTATCTCATAGGCAGTGTATATTTAAATAACGTTCCCGGGTATCTCATACGAGCTTATATCATGGTCACTAGAGACTTTACTAAGAGACCTGCACAACACCTACTAAAAGGTTTTATAAAGTAAGCGCATTTCTATTGCCTTCAGGGCCGTGTAAATTTAAATTACGTTCCCAGGTATCTCATAGGCAGTGTATATTTAAATAACATTCCCGGGTATCTCATACGAGCTTATATCATGGTCACTAGAGACTTTACTAAGAGGCCAGTACAACACTTACTAAAAGTTTTATAATTATACAGTAAGCGCATTACTATTGCCTTCAGGGCCGTGTAAATTTAAATAACATTCCCGGGTATCTCATACGAGCTTATATCATGGTCACTAGAGACTTTACTAAGAGGCCGGATCGGTAACGGATCGTGCGAGTAGAATGCACACACACGATTGTACAGATATTAACTAAATTAGTTATACAATGCGAGATAGACAGTAACAAAGTAGACTACATACCAGGATCCACACGATCATCTAGAAGTAACAGCCTTGCCATCTCGAGATAGCCCAGTGAGCAAGCATCGCCTATAGCCATATTTGTTTGCAACGAAGGGTCTGACCTGAGTTATGCAGTGTTTGGAACAACATAGAAAAAAAATACATTACAAATACAACATGTCTGTCTGATGAATACATGCGAGTGTATAAACAATCTTGAAAGCCAAAGTTTTCCTGAATCAAAACACGAGATTTGAATCCATAAATGACATGTCAGATTCAAATTGGCGTTTCCAATATGATGAAAGAGAGCAAATGTATATACACATTGTGATGACTCTCATTTGATATGGCAACAGAATGGCAACAGTATGCAGGCTGTTTTAAACTAAATGACCTATACTTGAAATGTGTATATACGCTGAACGCAAATGAGACTGAAGCAAGACACCATAGAAACGTTGCGTAGAAGACCAAACTTATAACTAGATAAATATACATATATTTGCAAAGAAGCTCACATGCCCCACATTTAGCTGCAGTGCGAGTCTAACTTGTCATAATAGAGTGCTAAGGGTGATCTATGCTCAATGTGAGTGTAATCAATGGAATGCACGCCAATACACATCACTCAACGAACGCCAATGCGCCTGAAATCGTACTACTGCAAAACGAACTCACAGCTCTAGTGGGCAGTGGCTCTGCTAGTATGATCTTTTCATTTACATAGCGCAGCAAACTATAAAAGATTTTTTTGAAAGGCGCAGTTTCTTGTTAATAAAATCGTATGTGTAAACTATGTGATAGACAGACGTACGACTTATTCAAGAAGTACGTACGCTCCAATCTTACAGACGCATCGTGGGCGTGTTCGAAAATACCTTCCACCAGCGTGTAGATATTTGTAAACTTTAACTCTGTTATGTCTTGCCGCAGTTATCAGACCCGTACTTCGATAAGTTGATGGATCGTACTTCAATTCCTACATAATAACATCAGTACAACGATCATAAATAAAATCATGGTCGATCAGCCTTTTGTTCGCGCGGGATACATGTCAATGAGCAAGTGATTCAAACAATAAAGTAATACGCGTGCATAAAAAATATATATGACGTGAGCTATTCATCGTGGGAGACTATAGTAGCCGTGTGATGGTGCTTATCCGTGATTACATATAACAGCAATAGTTGACAAAGCGCCAGATACGTATACAGACAACAAACCAGATGTGAGTAGCAACCAGCTAAAAGTAGTTTATCGATGCATACTACCCCTATAAACGATATCCGGCATATCGACAAATGGGTTGAGTACTTCAGCGGTGGGGATATATACCGAGTGTATAACGTGTCTTAGCAAACACGACCCTGTCCAAACGCCGCTTACTAGTTAGAGGAGTATACCCGACATCTGCAAAGTCCAACGCTTCTTGTTTGACACATAAACAGGAGCAAACCGTTTAATAAAAGGTACGAGAGCAAACAAATGCATTATTTCGGATTCTAAACGGACTCAGAATAGTAGCTGGGTCAGCACCACGTGCGATGGAATACTAAGTCGGTGCTACTATACTAAGTCAGTGGTGGCTACAGCAGTCACGGCTAGAAAAATGCTCATGCACATACTTCAAGCACACGATGCGTCACCACACCCACATGTACGTGTACACTTTGACTACGACAGAAGCATGCATAGACAGGCACTGCCTAGCTGAACACTATGTTCCTGCTACATACCTCGACTATGAACTTCACTATATCCAGATCGCCCTGCTCACACGCCCTCACGAAACATTGTGTCAAACAATCACACACTTGGGCTCTCGATGGTACATCGGTGAGATCAACATACGTGACCACCTGATGCAGAGCACTCGTAACAACTTCGAAAGGAGGCTGAGTATAGCCCAGCATTTCTTCAGGTAGCTGTACGAGGGATTTAGGTTTAGGTTTAGGTTTGTCATCCCAAGTCTCCCAAACGCAGGGGGTTGATAACAGTCCGCTTTCTTCGACGTAGAAGTTAGACATGTATTATGCTTTTTCGTAAGCTGCGAGTACTACAAAATTCCAATATTGTAAAACATTGTGCTACTGAAGTTATTACAGCTTCTAGCATACATAAGTCTACATACTGTTCATGTTTGTAGCTTGGTTCATGATACTAACTACTTGTGATATGGAAGCATAGCCAGTGCTATCCAATATGATACAGAAATCAACTACAGTAGATGAATGTAATTTACCATGCCGGCAAAGTGTGTAGCATTTATCGAGAACGGATAATGTATATATATACCAAATTGCGATGTATGGAGATCAAATGTCGTACAATAGTGATATTTTGCAAGTGCACATGACACACAACCGGAGAACATGACTAAGCTGCCAGATTGAACTATTACAGCACGTACGTACAGTGTTGGCAAAGTGACATCTCGTCTGAGACCGATAGCTTGTCCCACATCAAGGATATTCCCTTTGGAAGCGACACCTTATCTCACAACAGCAGCGCCAGTATATACAAGGCGCCTATCAACTAACGAAGCAACAATAAGGTTAAGCCATCTAACGCCTTAAGGCAACTTCCTAAGTAGTTCGCTATCTTATTACGGACTAACGTTTGAGAGTGCGAAATGATTACACCCAATGATTCAATCTCCGAGGTTCCTAGTTCCAAGCTGAAATTTTATAGTAGAATTTAATACCAATATAAACAGAAATAAAGTAGGATGGGTGTAGACGAGTATACTATGATTACACAATATTTGAGAACTTTCTAAACCAAGGCAGAGGCTTGTGTGCGATTCCCTCAACTGTATAAATAGTATCATCAACACCAGCACCCCAGAAGGCCACGTGTTCGTTGCGTACTATTTAACTATAAAAAGTTAACGGCTGTGCGCAAACAATAAATACCCTGAGATAGTATATCGTACACGCCTCAAGCGAAATTACGCACCTCGTGAGAATGATTGTGAAATTAAAATGACGCTTATTTTCCCGGTGTAGGAGTGTATAACACATAGACCCAGATCCCATCTACTACAGTCCTGAACACAAACCTACACACAACGAGTTATACTGACAGCAGCCCCAATTTTCTAGTGTCAGTTCTGGACATCGATGTCAATATCTGCTCTACTATACCGAACGCTAAGGCATAGTTGCATACACACGACACGTGTTAAAGTAAGGAACTGGCACACTTACTCGCAAGACAAACACAGTCAAGCAACTCTAAATTCTTGAATAATTCCTATCTGACTGTTTACGTATATCAGGCGTTATCATCAACCAGACTGACTACGACATAACCATGCAGCAGTACAAGCTAGTATATGTGTGCGAATATCTATGCAACTCCTTACAGATTTGCAACCGCAGGCTACTCATATTTTCTGAGCCACACAATCAATAAAATAAAGCGTACATATACAAACAAACACAATATAAACATATACAATACTACCTCGCCGGGGTGGCCCGCCAGATCAACCAAGATACCCCCCCCAACAATTCTCAGAGCCAGCAAGCAGTACATCTGCGGCAGCCTCAGCACATGATCGGCACAAAAGTGATCTGAAATGCAGTCTCTCATTAGAAGATCCGCTCGCACTTTAGCTGTGGCACCCATACGCAGCCTTTTACTGGCAGAGGCTACAGAAGGAAGGGTTTCCAATGGAAGAAACGAATAGATGTACTCTAGGACATCTAGAGGTAGGTCGTCGATACTCGTGTGCACGTTAGCGGAAGGGGTCATGGTGATTAACTCGGGTACTGTTGCTGTATGATGTTGGTTTATGAGGCATATAAGCATTATTTGTATCTATATTTGCATCGATTATAGCTACGTATTTAGCCTATATAACATAGCCGTCATGTTCTATTTTCAGAAGGCTATGTATATCACCATAAATATCCTAAATATCGGCAATTCGGCACAATCCACACACGGGCTTGGAAATATATGTGAATGTTTTATATATATATAAAAAAGGTATATATGTATAGAGTTCAAGAAAGTTTAGAAACCGCCAGTGGCAGTATTATTTTTATAAAGGTGTAAATATACAAATATTAAAAAATTTGCAATGAGCAAAGTTTGGGTCATCATTCTATGGTGAAATAGCTCTAAAAGTAAAATTCACAGTTCGGTACGGATCCTGGTGCTGATTTTTTTGCTGATAACAGGGGGGGGATTCTGACATTCTAAATATTTCATGGTCATATTTGTATAATATATATATATATATATATATATTTATACGAATATGTATACCGACTATATATATATATATATATATATATATATATATATATATATATATATATATATATATATATATATATATATATATATACATACACACACACACACACACACACAC